ACTTTGTGCATATCTACACTAATTTGTCTTCATTTAACAAACAGAGCCATGAAGGTCAATTATATTTGATCCGGGAAAGGACAAAATGTGTCTACACGCTTTATCGTTTTTCCCTTGAATCGACAATTCCATTTCCTATTATCCATCAATATAGCAAGTTCATGAAAGACGCCTAATGTTAAATATTGACTAAATTAAACCAATTGCATAAACTCAAATAATGATTTCAATTAGGACTTTTTAATACAACATCAGATCATAATAAAACTCAATAAAGAACTCAGCTGAAGGGACAACAGGCTAGAAATGCAGAGAAGCCAAAGCAAAGCAAATGGCAACAAGAGTGCAAATAGCTACTCTCAAGTTCTCTCTTATCCTTTTTTCCCTCATGCCTTTTACCCAGCAGCCATCATCAAACACATCCTTCTCTAAATTTTCAATAAAAATATCAAAAGGCCATCGGCACACCAAAATAAGAACAAACCAATTCTGTGTTGTACCAAACCTAAATAAACGCTTAAACTTCCAACTCCAAAAAAACATCGTCACAAGTATTACAGAAAATAAAGCTTAATTTATGGATGGTATGTGAAAGGAATATTCATTCTAACCGGCATATTCTTCAATAATCCTGGCCATCCAACATGAATGCAGGCCTAGGCAAACTTTGCAAAAGATATCACAACGTTCTCCCAGCCATGTCTTGAATGTGTCAAAGGATTATGAAGAACTGATCAGCCCAAGATAGCGTGGTTAAACATTGTTCTAAAGGTCTATAAGCTGAACCAGCCTTATTAACTCCCAACAGGAAATAGGGTTTCAAAAGCCAACAATTCAGCTAAGTTGGTGACGTTAATGATACATTACAAATATCGTGTAAACAAAACAATTTAGGTAAGAAAAAATAAGACTCATACTGATGCGGGTGTTGGTGTTTCCCGCACGGATGAAGAGAGCAACGCCAGCCGGTTTGAACCGGCTGGCATAGGAACCGGTTGAGGGAGCCCGGTCCTGCTATCCAAAGGGGCGAGCAGCAACAAGCAGCATCAGGCAGCACTAGGCAGCTTTCCTTTCGTGTCTCCAGCCCGGATTGAGCGACATTTGGGGAAGGCAGCATCGTCGCCTGCCCTTTTCTCCTTCCTTTCTCGTCGTCTTTCCTTTATTGTTTCCCACCTAGCTAGGTCTATTTATATGTTTTTTTTTTTCTGAGTTTAGGGCTAGTTTTTGTTGTGTGTTGATTTCAGATTCCAGTGTGCAAGTTTTTTCCCTTTTGTGGGTTGTATAAGAAGAAATGGTAGTGCTCCGGTTGCAACCTGCTCCAAGGTGGTGTGTATCTTCCTCCCTTTTGGCTATCCATCTCTCCTCCTTCCCCATAGCCGTGGGTCATTCCTAATTCCCTTTTGCAGCCTTTGCCGCTCCATCTCCTGCACTTACATCGCTGTCCAGAACCTTCCAGCCACCCCTCGGCCTGTCTTTGGTCACCTCCGGCCCTCCATACTTGTTGTCCCTACAATTCTACACCCCCCCCCCCCCCCCCCCCCCCGCCCACCTCCTACGTCGCTCGCTGCCACCACTATTGCCAATCATCCCAATCCACCTATCCAACTTTCACCACCCTCAGAATACTCCTTAGAGGTGTTGCTTGTGTCGTGTATGTCGGTGTTGTTATTTTCTATTGTAAACCTATTTTCCTATTAATAAAGTGTGTTTTTGTGTTTCTACTTTTTTCCCTATTAGAACTGATATCATTTGGTATTAGAGCTAGCCTAACCTAATCCTTTTTTTAAGTTTCCTAACATCCGCACTACCTTCCACCGGAAAATTTTCTTTCTTACCCTGAATCACCCATTCCAAAACCAAACCCTAAATTCTCTTTGCTGATTTTTAAAATCAGCAATCCCAAATCAAACTTTCTACACATTCAATTAGTCCCATAGAACATCTTTCACCTCCCAACCCTAAACCTTAACCATGACATTACATGTCCGAGCCTACTCGAGAGGACATACGACGAGAGAACCGCCAACTTCGGCGTGGATTACGGAAATGGAATATGAAATCAAATGGGAGGCTGCCATCGATCGTAATTCGAAAGGTAGAAGGGGGGAACGAGAAGATGTGAAGATGAAGCGAAGAACACAGTGTCAGTTCCTACCAACTTACTACTGCTAAAAGTTATAGATCCTAGCTTTTGAAATGGAAAAACCGCAACACCAAGCGACCCCTGGCTACTATTCAGCGAAACCAATCCGCAAGTATGTCACAGCAAGAAAATGAGTGGCAAGTGCCACGAATTTGGATACGTTGAAGCAGAATGCACAACCAGGGAGAGATCTACTTCAATGACCAAGACGTCATTGAAAAGTTTGGTAAAGATAACACACGCTTGAAGACGGTGAGAACATAAACGAGGAGGATCAGCTCCCAGTTGAAGAGATAAACAGCGATCCAGAAAAAGTTGTCTTCAAAGAGGATCCACAATTGTCAGCTAATAAAGAAAAGACGCCACCAATTACAGTTGATCCCAAGATAGAGATTCCAGCTGAGGTAACAGTAGTTGTTCAAGAAGGTAGTGACCATGATGTAATTGGCATTCATGCAGAGTATGAAGTGGCGGTACCTCAAACTATTGTTTCACAGACGGTGAAAGGAACATCAGCCGGACTGACTTGGGATGTCCAAAAGGTGCATGCATTTGAGGAATCGACGATAGATAGAGAGCCACCATAGATCAGAGCATTGCAAATTTTTCAGATGTATAGACCCCTTCCTGAGTTACTCTTACAGAGGGAGGTGCAACATGTCAGAAGTGGAGTCATTCTGTAAGGTCCAACATGCCATAAATTTCAAGTGGAATTATTCAGAGGTTATTTCCTATTTCGCATGGCACCCCTCGTCAGATGTCCAAACATAAGAGATGAACCCTATCTTTGTAATGGGTCGAAGGAGTTTGATGGGGACGAATATTCTTCAATGAGATCCAGATCTTATTAGTAACAAAGAAGTCTCTTCTGAGTGGGTGCTGGCGAGAGCACAAATTTCACCCCCGAATTAATCTCTCCTCACATACCGGTGCCTCAACTGCACTCAACCAAATATGATGAGTGGAAGAAGCAGGTTACCTCTGGAATGGCTCGATACCTGTACCGTGAGAATACTCGTGTTACTATTGTTCCAGCCCAGGGTGTGCCAAAGGTGGACAGATACCTACCCAACCAAAACTTGCTTTGGAACAACAACGCCTAGAGGGTCGACCTGTCGGGGGGCTACAATGTCTCAATCACGCTCAACGTCGCCGACCTGACACAGTAGTTTGAGAAGCCTAAAGCTTCGACAAATGAATTCAAAGCTCCCCCAACCCCGAGAGACTGACGTGGGTGCGAGTGTTTCCCGCACAGATATGGGAAACAACGCCAACAAGTTAAATCGGTTGGCATATGGACCGACTCAGGGAGCCAGGTCCAGCCATCCGAAGGGGTGAGGGACATCAGGTGGCACCAGTCGGCTTTCCTTTCGTGTCTCCCGCCCGGATCAAGCGACATTTGGGGAAGGAAGCATTGTCGCTTGCCATTTTCTCCTCCTTCCTCTCTCATTGTCTTTCCTTTCTTGTTTCCCATCTAGCTGGTCTATTTATATGCTCGGTATTCAGAGTTTAGGGCTAGTTTTTGTTGTGTGTTGATTTTAGATTCTTGTATGAAGTCATTTTCCCCTTTGTGATATTAGAAGATGTAGTGATGCTACAGTTATATCCTACTCCAAAGTGGCATGTATCTACCTCCCTTTTGGCTATTTAGCCCTCCTCCTCATTCCTCATAGCCGCAGATCATTCCTAATCCCCTTCCCCAGCCTCGTCGCTCCATCTCCTGCATTTACCTTGTTGTCTAGCACCTTCCAACCACCCCTCCGCTGTCGTCAGTCACCTACATCCCTCCATATTTGTTGACCCTACAATTCTGCACATCCCATTCGCTGACATCAGTATTCCTTGGTTGCAACCACCATTGCCAACTATCCCAATCCACCTAGCCGACCTCCATCACCCTTAAAAAATCCCTTAGAGTGTTGCTTATGTTGCATATGTCAGTGTTGTTTTTTTTCTGTTGTGTTGTGTTGTAGAACTATTGTCCTATTAAGAAAGTGTGCTTTTGTGTTTCTACTTTTTTCCCTATTACTTCCGGTATCACATACATAATGATATTAAAAGAAATACATAACTGGTCGGTCAATAGACCATGACTAGACCAGCCAAATATCACTGAACGTGCTTGAAAAATTAGAGGTCACCAGACCAGATCAAACATCATCTTTACCAGAAAAGCTTCAACATGCTCACCCAAGACCAAACCTGAGGCTTGTCAATGCCAAACTGATAAAACAAGAATAAAATAAAGGAAAACATGCAAAAAAAGCTGAATGACGATAAAGGCCTGTCAAGTAAAGCTATTCAAGTAAAAAACGACAACTAAAAAAAATACAAAACCTAAAGTGTAATAATATACTTTGTCAAGTTAGAACTCCAACCTTAAAAATGACAACGACAATATCATGCATCAAGAGGTAAAATTAATCTTTACATAAATCAAAGTGCAACTGCATAAACGGGTAATGCAAAGTCAAATGTCTATGAAAAAGACAAAAAAGGTATCAGTTTTAGCAAAATTTAATTGGTCAGGCTAACAGTAAAGTTGCTAGACAACCAGTGTTTCTGCATCTAAAATCAAAAAGCAATCCAATACTTTAATATTTTAGGATGATTTACACATCAAATGGGAGTAAAAGGTGGTTAAGAGAAGCAGTACCTTCCATTTATATTAACAAATGACAAAAATAGTTACATATTCAATTTTAAGGTTCGCAAGACAATGATTTCCCAGTTAAGAAATCTTACTTTACCAATTAGATAATATTCATTGCATGCTCCGTGTATAACGAGTATAAATGGCAGATTGTTTAAAAGAAAAGGTGGAGCACTGACAATCATTTCTTTATCAAAATTAAACCTTTGAATTCAGAAGCTTTCTCAGGAAGTAGGTGATCCCAGGTCTTCTCCAGTGCTTTTCTAATTTTCAAGTTTGTCTCACCATCAAGATTTGAAGTCTGTAAATAAATTCTTACTCAAAATGGAGGGAGAAGGAAAAGATTTTAACATCCACACTGATTCAATTTCAAGAGGCGAATCAAAACCTCAATGTAACAGACACCATCAGGATTAGTACTGGCAAGGAACAGTAAATCAGCAGGGAAAAATGTATCCTGTTTAACCTGCATGAAGCATACAAAACCATCACACTTTGAACTACTGAAATATGAAAGAATCTTTGATTAAAAAAACAAAAACAAAAAAAAAAAGTATAATTACTGTTGTCAATTTAACTATAATAGCAGATGTGCTACTGAAATAAATTTAACCTTCTATCTTTTAATGCATACTTTTCATGCAGAAAGGAGAAAACTGTCACTTGCATGGAGAAGCACCAATTTGCTAAATAAGATATCAAATATGCATTGATTTAGTTCAGAACAATTCCCAGCCCTTCACTGAAATTTGAGATTCTAGGTTCTAACAAAATCTCAACACTTGGCTTGGGAGAAATCTAGTAAGTTATACATACAGAAGAAATTAAATCATAGAGTTTTTCTTCCTATTTTTCCAGGCTACATGAATAGAGAGATGAATCTTCAAGAACCAAGGACGGAAGAACACACAAATGCGTACACAAAAGGTAATTGAAGAAGAAAAATTCAGAGCTGAGACTGCACTTTTCCTCCAGACACAACGCGAAACTATTGTTAAAGTTTCTGCTTGTTTTAAAAACTTCATTCTCATTTATGTTTAAGCTTTCTCGCTAAGCAGAGATGGGCCTTCAATCAACTAAAAAAACCTAGAAAACACGTAACAAGCACAATAGCAGCCGCTAATAATCAGAACCACAAATTGGAAGCTAAAACTGCAACTCAAAAGAAGTACTGGTATCCATGCCTGCAACAAGTTATTCAGGGAAGAAAACATGTTGTTCATAAGGCGTTCGTTTATTATAGGTTTTTTTCAAAAAGTAGCTCACAGTCTAGAAAAAGTTAATTGGTACTAAATACCCAAAGAGTAGGCAATCCCACCATACTGGTGTATCGGATATATTTTATATTCACTCAACATTTATCAAATTTATATTTTTCATAAAAATTAGCCACATTTAAACTTTACATAACAATTAATCCAATCAATCATTTCCACTGTTTCAGATACCTAAAGTAAGCACACAGGTCATCTTTCTCTGGATTCCCTCCATCTATTTTCAGCTGTTGTCTTCCTGCATACGGCAAGAAGCTAGTTTTACAGAAGGATCACAATCTTCTAATATTGTCATCTCCCAAATCTCAGGCACCATGAACTATGATAACCTATCCTAAGCCCAAGTCCTCATTAAAAATAAGGGACTTAATTCTCATTTGGAACAAAGAGTTCCCTGCCAATCTTAGTATTAACATACAATCATGGATCTCCAATATAAAGATAATTTTGTATGGTTAAATGTAATTTCCATTGTTTTGAACAAAGTTTCATTCATACATAGAAAGTGTGTCTACTTAAGTATAATAATGCTTAATATATTGCAACTTCTCCAATCAATCAGTGTTGGCGGCACCTGCATCCATAAATGCAACAAGTTTGGTGCACCTTCATACAAAGAAATATAGGAATCTCTCTCCCGCCTCAAGCAATAAGATACCCTGTAAAGTTACATTAAATCTTGTAAAGAATTAAATAATTATGATCATTGGACAAAAGTCTGATTTACACGTATCAGTTGTATTCAGCTAGAAATCATTTTTCTTATACTCAAACAAGCTCATGTGAATTGACAATATGGTTTCAATCCATATTTGCTGATATTTTGGCCCGCCTGGGATAGAAAAGGGATAACAGAGTGAACAAGTTACTGCAAGTTGAAGAAGCAAATCTCTTGCGTAAGTTATCCATCAGGGAGCAAGTAAAAACTGTCGGAGGATACATAACCAAGCAAACTCGGGTCATCATACATTGCAATAGCAAAAAAGAGCAATTGAGCACATACAGGTATACATGCACTTGCCAAAAGTAGTTGAAAAAAAAATTGGCTAACACCTCCAATCATGACAAATGAGTAATATTGTAAATAAATATGGCAATTTGTAAATTTAACCAGTTCAACAAAATTTTAACACAACGATGTCAAAAAATCCCCTCTAGATCTCATGTTGCAAAAGTGAGCATGTACATATATGGAAAAAAGCCAACACACTTGAGCAGAGAAATACAAGCGGCACAGCAAATAAGATTGTTTCAAATTGGCAAAACTAACCCTTTAATACTTCAAAAAGTGGGTGTGGCAAGGCATTCTATGAATGACAAAGTTGAAAGACAAACATCACTTCTCTATTATTGCTGTCCTTCAAATGTTCAAATGGATGATTGGATGTATACATTAAGATTATTTTCAGACACATATGCTACCCCATAATAAAAATTAAATTTGACAGATTTCTTTGCACGTAACTAAATTATTGTAAAACAACAAACCACATAAACTCCGCTATGCCTGTGATTTCGCCCTCTCATGTCCAAAGTCGAGGGCTCACACAACATAGCTTCAGCTGAGTTTTTGGAGTATATTTTTTTCTTTACAAATAAATACATTACAAAAGACTTCATTATGGGTCAACCTCCGCGATAAAACCTTCATAGGGATTGGAGAGGCAAGCACCTCTTCCAAGATTTGGGGGCAAGATCCAAATTTTGCGAATTATTCATTAAGGGTAAATTGGCCAATTTATTACTATTAGATTGCCCTACATCTATAAATATAGAAACTGTCGCATTAGATGAGTTAAAACAATAATTTCCAAAACAAAATTCACAGTGATTTGCAGCGGTGACAACTATATGCAATCATCAACTGAGTAAACCCATGTAAAATTCTTCGTAATTATTATGCATTTACCTTCTTTTTTATATTCAGTTATTTTTCACTATATGTTTGAATTAAGTTTCACCTATTACCCAATAGACTTGGCCATGAAATCTCAAACAATTAATTCCATATCAGCAATTTAATTAAACTTCCATTCCTCTATACTTGAATTAGTTCTAAGTAACTAATTCTTGAAATTGTAGCATTTCTTAATTAACTCACCCCCATTGACTCCGACAAGATGAAAGTGATAGTGATAAGCTACTGCATATTTAATAGTGAACGGTGATATTGAGTTGAGTTTGAGCTAGCTAAACTAAACTTAGACTTGTACACAATTGAAAATCAAAATCTTTTCAAGCTAAGTCACATTGGAAAGATTAGAATTTGAATTGATTCAAAGTTGATCTTTAATTAGCCATATATATAGTAAAAGAGACAATTACATGCATACCACATAATTCTCAAGTATTTATATATCTTACAATTCTTTATATGACACTCTAGAGACTAAACTACAAAAAAATGTAAGCATAAAAAGGTATTTTTCACTTTTAATAACTTAATATTAGTAATATTTCTTTTATTATTTAGATACTAGACAGATATATAAATAAATATAAGGAGTTAAGTATAAGGTATTTAAATATGTGAGAAATTTATTGTGCATATAAAAATCACCCTTTATATGAGTCTGATTTTGAGTCGACTTAAAATACATTTTAAGGAGTCAAAGCAAAGTCAAAATTGAATACAAATCGATTCAATTATAAAGTGGAGCTCAAAATTAGCTAAAAATAGAGTTGAGTTGATACTGAGTCGAGACAATTTTAGAGAGATTTCAAGCTTAATAGCAACCTTATTTAAGTAATAATAGAGTTCATGTCTGCGATTTACATGAAAGACTTTTTACTTAAGTATTTTCTTTGTGCGCGTGAAGATGTGTGGCAACCAAATATGCGCGCTTGAAATAGCCAAGAGCCCTATTTTTGGCAAGATTGATGGAGAGCAAAGCCACCAAGGATTTTTAGCATGCGGATCATAATCATTGAAATCCTTGACTTAGCATCAACATCACCAATTAGATCAAAAGCTTGAAATTTGAACACAAACTCATTCTTTGATAAATTTTATATAGAGTTCAACTTAGTCTTATCATTTGATTTTTTTTATATTTATTTTTTTGCATCTATCATCCATCTAGTCTTAGAACCTTAGAAGTTCCATGATTATTTGTATATATACATGTGAGTGAGTGGAACAGAAATCAAGTTTTTGCTATAGCTAATGGGTACATACATATACATACATACATATATATACATATATATATATATAGATATATATATACATATATATAGATATATATATACATATATATAGATATATATATACATATATATAGATATATATATACATATATATAGATATATATATACATATATATAGATATATATATACATATATATAGATATATATATACATATATATAGATATATATATACATATATATAGATATATATATACATATATATAGATATATATATACATATATATAGATATATATATACATATATATAGATATATATATACATATATATAGATATATATATACATATATATAGATATATATATACATATATATAGATATATATATACATATATATAGATATATATATACATATATATAGATATATATATACATATATATAGATATATATATACATATAGATAGATATATATATATATATACACATACAGATATGCAAACGTAGAGTGATACAAATACATATAAATAGATATACATACATAGATATATACATATGCATATGCATATACATACATAGTTATATACAAATATATATAGATATATGGATATGCGCACACGCGCGCCCCCAGCACGCACACACACACGTTTGTTTATGGATGTGTAGGTACACATACACATATATATACATGTACATGTACATATACATATGCACATACATGTATATCAAACATGTAGATGTATCAATCTATACATATATACATGTACATGTATGTACACACACACATACACACATACACACACACACACACACACACACACATAGATATACATGTAGATATACATATTTTTACATCTATATACATATATACATGTACATGTATGTGCACACACATATACATATAAATAGATACACATACATAGATATAGAAAGTTTTATAGAGACAGATACACTTATGTAATGCTATGTTATGAAGCATTATTTAACCGATTCTCCGATGTTAATGTTAAGTCTAATCCCTTGGACCTGATTTAATTAAGTGAAC